AAATACCTGTGTCTGAGGAAACAGGTCTATTAACACTAATGGTTTTGGCAACTACCAGATACTAAAACACTCTGGAGAAGAGAAGGGCTGCATTTCAGCACCAGACTGTTGTAGTTCTGGTTAGCTTTCCAAACATGTATCACCAAGGTCACTGTAGGTAGAAGTAGTCCATCTTTATAGAAAAAAACAGTGAGCTGTAAGATGCAAGGCTCTTCGTGAAGGCAGAAGTACCTAATAAGCTGGAGAGTTTTGCTAGCTCCCTGCTGCTTTTTGCTCGTCCTTGATGGATGGTTGTAGATCCACTGGCGATTCTCCAGACCTGCCTTGGCAATCATGTGGAACATATTATCCTCTCGGGCAGAAATCCATTCCAGCCTTTCCACTCAGCTGTAAACCCAAACGCTTAAACACAAATCACTTACATGACACTATGCTCCATTGTAAAAAAATTCCATAAAAGGCTGGAAAGGATACCAGTGAATCTATCCTCTTCACTCTTGTGATCCTTTGGCCTTTCTTCTTCCAAAAATATAATGTTTATTTATTTATGAGTAATATTTGGATGCCTTGTATACATACTGATGAAATATATGGGATTGAGATGATAACAAAGCACTTAAATATTTTTAGATAGACACCAACGAATTTACCCTTCACCTTCTGCTATAGAGCTCTCTCCGGACTTACTTCTGCTCTATGAGTTTTCATGCATTTATGAAGACCTAACCTCCACTAACAGTACAAACCTCAGAAAGGACACTGATAACTCAGTCCAACTAAAATTTTGTCTGGATATCCAGCTTTGTATTTTTTAAATCCTTTCAACTTTTCAATGCATTTTACTGTGTTTATCTGGAGTCATTGTCATAGTCCATTGCAGTCACCTCAAACGACTTCCTTCTCTAGTGTATGCGATCAAATTTTTTAGCATGGTAAACCCCTGCCCATTGTGCTACTTGCATATGATATGAGAGCTCATTGCTTAGACAAGCTGTTTCACCTCCGTATGCCACTCATTGCAGAGCTGACCATCATGGCCACGCTGATGTTCTATGCAGTTGTCAAGTCATTTGAAGCCCACTCCCATCTCTGAATTTTCAAATGTTGAACTCTCAGTCAAGGTGCTGTAAAGAAACAGCTCAGCTGTAGGTTGCTTGTGGCGTAGGGTCTGGGGGATGGTGAAGGAGGCAAAACATTCCCTTCATATCTTCCTGTCTTATCAGCAGCAAAACCTGCTGGGCTTTATGCAGGAGAAATGCACATCACTGTCTGCAGGCTGCCTCTTGCAGCTGTTACGGCTTCGCCCAGTTAACATCACATACAGACATGTTTCCGAAATCAAAAGCGAGAGAACCCTGCAAGTGACTTCCTTTTCTTCTCTTGGCTAGGACTGAGAAAGTCCAAAGTCTAAAATCATTACAAAGAATTGGTGTTTCTTCCTCTGGTAGCCTTACATGCATCACCAGATAACGTCTTTGAAATGAAGCATTGTTTGACATCTCTATTGTATTATGTGATAAATGGAGATAACACTGCTGGCTGCTCTTCCTCTAACACTTGGGTGATTTTCTACACTAACAACATGGACTGAGTGGCTCTTCAGTTTTAATCACAGGACCACGTGATTGATTTCTGCACCAGTTTTATGTGGACATCTATCCAAGAAAGGCTCTGTCTGCAATAATTTCTTCTGTCTAGTTACCTAATGAGATTGTTGATTCATTGATTGTGTGATTCAATAAGCTTTTAAAGACTCGTGGATTTGATTTATGCTCTATGAATGAGCCAAGAGAAGTTTTGAAACAGAACCCTGAGATAGATACTTAGGTCAGCAGAAATTAAAGATGTGAGTACTTTACCCTAAGGCATTGTTAATAGGGGTTTAATTTTATTTGATTTCAAACTCAGGGCAGAGGCCACTGAAAATTTCATTAATTTGTATGCTGTCAGAACTACATTTGCCAAATTGATTTGGGAGATTTGCATAATATGATGGTCTTAGAGCATTGTATGGAGTCTGACCCTTATATTTCATCCCTTTTGAAGTAAAGTAGTTTTTCATTTTCATACTGCCTTGTTCATTTATTCAGTTCTTATAGCTCAGTTTTTACTTAAACTATAAAAAATAATTATCTATCAACTGAACCCCATCTTATTATTACTTTCATGTTGTCTCCCATCATTAGCAGAGTTAACTTTAAATTTTTTTTTTCATGTTTAAATCATTCCTTTGTGTGAATAAACATGCAGACATAGAAACTTTTAACTTTAGGGAACATCAGTTCTTCTAAAGATCTCATGCTAAGGACATTCCATAAAATCTATGACTCATAAATAGGGTAACATGTGGTGCCAGTGGAGAGTCCATAAGTGATAAAACTTTAGAACGCTGTTGAATCTCAGAAGGAGGGAGATAGCAGGTTTATACTGATAGAAACAGAGGATGACAACAACAATAATATGAGATAAATACACAACCTCTCTCTTTTTTTTTTTTTTTTTTTTAACAGCCTATTGAAAACTAACTGAATGCTGAAAGTCTTATGTCTTACTGGTCAGGTGTGGTGGTTACCACTGCAAGAATTATTGGAGTAATTTGCCTAAAAAATTGAGGACAGAGAAAATAGTGAGCTCTCCATACCATGTGGTCCTATCTCTTTGCAGAAACTCCCAGCCGTATAGATACCTGCTCCTTTCCTCCCCGGTCCTATCTCTTTGCAGAACCCCCCAGCCGTATAGATACCTGCTCCTTTCTGCCCCAGCCTCAGCCTCAGCAGGCTTTGGCCAGATCTGCTCCTGTGCTTCTCCAGAACAGTCCTTAGGGAAGGCTGTTTTGTCCACTGGTTCTAATACAAACCACATTATCAACCGTCAAATCTCCTTTCCCCAAATTACTTGCATTCATTCATCTAACATCCTTCTTCCTGCTGTAATTCAAGTTACATCTTTCTTTCTGTAAGCTTTTCGTCTCCCAGGCGCTCTCAGTCACATT